TGTGGAAGAGTTAATGGTTCAAACGGTAATGTTTTAAAGTCACTATTATTTAATTGGAGACAATCATTAACACGTTCCGTGCCATAGAAATGTCGGTCATATTTTACTTATGAACTGTATTGATTTTTTCAATAAAATATTAAGTTATATGTAAGTTTTTGGTAATTTTTATATATTTTGATATTTTTCTTTATGTTCTTGCTGCTTTGTAACGCATACCATTATCCGCGGCCATGTGTCCTTCAAAAATGTTTTCTTACAGAAATTGGCGTGTACCATATATGGTACACATGGCACTGAACGTGTTAATAGATGCGTGTTGGATATACCGACATAAATAGTTCCAGTCAGAGTAGGTAAACTTACGATTACTCAATGTTTCACAGACATATAATAAACTGAAGAAATAGTTTGAAATTTCAATTTCGCAAATTGTAATTCTCCCAATGTAAATATGAAAAATAAGCGTTACACTTATTTCGTGTATACAATAGTGTAATAATTTGAGAAGATTATTTTACTATTGTTACTTATGTTAAAGACAGATCTACACCGTCGCAATTGGTCTTATTAAAACTTCACTGAAACACTTTGTTTTCTATTTAATAATGTAACAGTCGAATAGAAAATTTGAATTTAGCTACAAACTGAAAAAAGATAAGAACCTTGGTCCAGGATCTTCTCCGATTAGAATACCAATATTTTGATCGTCGTCGTCGTGCAGTCTTGGCGTAGGTTCGATACACGTGGTACATTTGGAATCATTAGAATCAAGGTCGTTGCGAGGTTTCGGGTCGTCGTCATCTCTTTCTTCAGTTGGCAAGTAAATTGTTACTGTGTGATGAACGGTTCTAGTTTCATGAAAGGGTTGGTTAGAATCCACCCATGGCGGAGCATCCTCTGCATCCGTCCAAAAGAAATCTTGCAGATGAACTCGACGTCCTGGTAAATGCTCGATAACAATTATTTCATCCTCTAAAACCAAAGATATTTTCCCTCTCTATAAGTAGTCAAATTTGATCGTATAAGTAATAAGTAAATTAATATCTTATACAATCTTTAATACGTTGAAAGCCATGGGGGTCACCGGTGACCCCCAATCAAATCAAGTTACATTAGTTCGCTCATTTAAGCGATGATTATTCGAAAATATTTCTATATTACAAATAATGCTACCTATTGCGGCGACGTTCAGCTAGATGGGCGTGCAATTATAGTAATGCCATTCAATCGAATGATTTAATATTTGATTTTTGATAAGGTTAATGTAATTACTGTATTTACTGTTAAACTTGTAATAGAATGAAATCAATTAATCGTAGTGATAGACCGACGCTTCTTTGGCCAACAACAATTTGCCGAAATCAAGTTTGACTGTGGAAACACGCGAAGATTCGAGCGTCCCATTTAACTTTCGTTATCATGAAAATAGAAAGGGAAAGCGAGAAGACGCTGCAGGTTGCCATAAATTAAGTCCTTCCTAGTGCAATGTTACCTCGTCACCGTCCCGCTTTGGCGAGTGTACTGTCACTTATACTTCTGCTATGGCTGGCGACACTTCTCTCTTCATCGTTTGCGTGTCGCGAGTCAAGTTGAATGAAGCATGCAATTATAGTTCTCAGTAATGTCTCGCGCGTGCGAGAGAGATTTAAAAAAAATATTTTTATTGAATGATCTCCAAATACTTCTCTATTACATTGTGAATATATCAGATAATGCCAGATAATGATAAACGTCTCAAGCTCATCACGAGCCACGTTGATTGCCACGTTGGTCACCGATGACCGAAGCTTCCAAATTATTTGAGAACAATTACAGTAAGAAAATTCATGTCAAATAAAAATATTTAGTAACATAAGTAACTAAATAATAATACAATACGAGTACTGCGATGCCAAATCGTTAATAATTATTTCCAACACCATTTGCCTTTATTACGAAAGAATAAGTATTACACGAAACGCTCGAAGTTCTCGTGGCAGTCAACATGTTAACACGTTCGTTACCAACGTTTGTTTCAGTGGCGATTCTCTCAATTATAATATTTTATTCAATTCAATAAACCTTCTAAACAAACTATTGAAAGAAATGAAGCTACAACGAGTCATTGAATCCCTAAATGTAATTCCGTAGCTTATAACTTTAACGAACTATATCTATAGGATTGATTTCATTTTCTTTATATAAAATATAGGACTGCGACCGTCACAAATACATGACACTAGTAGTGAATGTGTTAATGTTGTTAAACCCATCGACTCTCAATCTTCCTTTCCCTTCACTCGCGTGGTCCCTTTTTACGTCCGCAATGCTAAAATCTTCGCTTCTTGGGCTGGATTCGGTATCGATCATAGTTACAAAATGAATTATAAGGCAAGGGGTTAAAGTACGCTCCAATCCACATAGTTTCCTTTTATTTACGCCCACGTTTTGACAGTCCCTTGCTCAGTAGCTTAAAAATAATTCATCAAATAACGGACGATCAGATCAACATTCTGATCTTACAACCCCTTGCCGTACGCTTTATTTCTCAACTAGGATCATAATTCATTGAAAATAAAAAAATCTGGGTATATTTTGTGGAAATGTTTGGTATAAAGTCGCGGTTTCCAACTTGGGAGGCACCAACATTTTTAATAAAAAATTAATGTTCATACCATAATATTTACAAATAAATAAACTTCATACCGTAACGTAACAATGCAAATTCAATAAATCAATGTTTATTTTGTACTAAAGCTATTATTATTTAAAACGTATCTATATTATAATATCTATTAAAAGATAGGGAGGTGCCAAAATTTGTAATGAAAAATTAATGTTTATATCATAATATCTACAAATAAATAAACTTCATACCGTAAGGTAACAATACAAATTCAGTAAATCAATGTTTATTTTGTAATAAAGCTATTATCATTTAAAACGTGTCGATATTATTATATCTATTAAAAGATAGGGAGGCGCGGAGAAAACAATTTTTTTAGGGAGGCGTAGTAGCATAAAGGTTGGAAACTGCTGGTATATAGTATAGTAATTGATAACAAAGGAATAATATTTATTTTGAATTCACAAAAATTCGAGAATAAATAATGTTTACGTTTATTAAAGTTGGTTTAAAATCTTCATCACGAGTCTGACACGTTATTGTAAGGCAAAGGGTTAATAACAATTTCATTCTTCGATCATCGTACTATTTTATCCTACGACTGCCCACACTCCTGCGACTTTGTTTTGTTAGGACGACCTGATTTCACGGTCGGTTTACAGTTCCGGTCCGGATGTACCGTATGCACATGTTTCGTATACTCTGTCGTCTACGGTTTTATAATTAATCTTACCAATGTTAATCTGGATGCACCGGTGTATCGTATTCGAAATGAAACCTGCTCTTCGAACACGTCGATATTAAAGGAATTATTGCTGTTATCGTATTCGGTTACTGATAAATGCGATCCGTAGTTCCGTTGTACGCAATGTACTTCATTCTGCGCACGTAACGTTTACCGCGCGCTTCTTCATAAACTGATTAACACATTGTATGCGGAAAATGTAAAAGTACCATTTCCAGGTACCGTCCAGTAATATTAAATAAATACTTGTACAACTTCATTAACATTTTTTATAAAAGTAGATATACCTGACCCTCGATTTACGCGGATCTTTTTCACGCGAGCCTCTTTTTTAGGCGGCAAATTGGAACACTACGCGGTGGTTTTTACGCGCGATCTCAATTTACGCGATCTAAATTTAGTAACAGCGAATAAAATATACTTTTGTTTTCTAGAATGTCATTATTATTATTTCTTTTGTTAAGCTATGTGCAATGAATATGTATTTCTAAAACGTATACCAGTTTCTCTCTTCAATATTTTGTTTTCTCTTGTACCGACAGGCTCTATTTATACGATTTTCGTTCGCGTAAAGCGAACCCACGTGGGACGGATTTTCGCGTAAATCGTGGGTCAGGTGCAGTTCATTCCTTTTGCGTATGATTGAAAGTATTTTTATTTGTAATGGAAACTCTCGAAAACATTGAATAATAAATAAATAATTTGAATGTAGCTGATATAAATTGAAATGAACAAAATGGCCAGCACGCAATGTGTTAATAGCGATTTTCACACTAAAACTACCAGGTGGGTCAAAATGAACAATTCCTAATTTCTTCTTTTAGAATGACTGCAAACGTACAGATACTTATTTAAGAAGTGATTGAAGAAGCTGATTTAGTAATACTTAAACTAAAGTGTAAACCAATTGAAATGTTAATAAATTCACGCATATAGCTTTTATAAAGACACTTTCAAAAGACGGTTTAAGTGCTCGGTAGTTCTACTGTTAACACGTTCGCTACCAGCGTCACATATTAGTGACAGTGCAATCGCATATTTTACATAAAGAAACTGAAATAAATCCTATAGATATTATTATTTAAAATTATAAGATACGGTTTTGTGTTTAGGAACTCAATGACTTGTTTCAGTTGAATTTTTTAAATGTTTTCTTTAGAAGATTTGTTGGCTTGAATAAAATATTACAATTGAGAGGATTGTCAGCGAACCAAACGGTAGCGGAGGTGTTAATATTGGTAGCGATCGATTAGAATAACATAACGAGCAAGAGAAATTTAGTAATATTGTTTAATCGACAAATACACTTGACCCCCGATTTACGCGAAAATCCGTTCCACGGGAGTACGTTTTACGCAAACGAAAATCGTGTAAATAGAGCCTGTTGGTACAAGAGAAAACAAAATATTCAAGAGATAAACTGGTATACGTTTTAGAAATACATATTTATTTCACATAGCTCAACAAAAGAAATAATAATAATGACATTTTAGAAAACAAAAGTATATTTTATTCGCTGTTAATAAATTCAGATCGCGCGTAAAAATTACCGCGTAAATAATGTTTCAATTTGCCCGTGCAAAAAAAAATTCCGCGTAAATCGAGGGTCAGGTGTGTATTCATACAATATGACTTGTTTAGATATTTCTTATTGTCAATACAGATAAACGTAAATGAATACGTTACAAACATTTTGTGGACTTAAATAAATTGAAATTGCGCGATATGTATACATTATCGCTGGGTTTAGCTTGAGATGGCAGTGTTAGATCGATACTAAACAGAGTTCCTATGGAGAAAATAAGTAAATTGGTCCTGATTGATTATCAGTGCCGTAATATTAGGCTCGTCCTTATAATTTTCGTATAATTTCCTTGTAACTTCTTCGATGTACATTGATTCAAATTTTTGGTAATCGTTTAGGTAAACTTAAAGAAATTAGACTGAACAATATAGTTGTACTATAGTAACTATCCATCACAACTTCCGATGAGAAGAAAATATTTTCTATTTCAATAAGTATTTTAACACGTTGACTGCCACGAAAAACTTCAGCGTTCTATGTGTAATTTTTTCTTTTATAACGAAGATAAAAAGAAATGATTATCAATTATTTGATACTACAATTCTTAAGTCACATTATTATCTATTTATTTACGGTGTTGAACAGTTTTCTTAGATGTCAGTCATCTTACAAGCTATAATTGTTTTCAAGTCACTTGGAAGCTCTGGTCATCGGTGACCGGCGTGGCGGTCAACGTGTTAAAACCGTATTTCAATAAAAAATACTCAACCTCACGCATGTCGAGAGTTAAGTAAAAAAACAGTCGATATTAAATTTTCATATTATTTCTTATAAACTTACGGTGTCGCTTCAGACAGACTGAATATAAAGATCATTAACACGTTGACTGTCACGATAATTTCTAGTGCTTTGTATAGTAATACTTATTCTTTAATAACAAAGGCAAATGGTATTGAAAATAATTATTAATGATTTGGTATCGCAGTAGTCATATAACACTATTATATAGCTACTTATTAAATATCTTTATTTAACATCAATCTTTTTATTGCAATTGTTCTTCGGCAATTTGGAAGCTCCGGTCATCGGTGACCCCCGCCCAAGTTCAATTACTGCAATTTCCTCAATTAAACGATGATTATTTGAAAACATTCTTATACTGTAAATAACGCTACTTAATGTGCTGACATTCAGCAAAACAAACCTGTGATAATATCAACGCAATTCAATGAAATCATTTAATACTGTATTTTTTCATTTCGCATATTTTGCACCTTAAAATCGTGCGGCATTCAACGTGTTAATAATTAGAATCTGTCAACATGGGTTCTTAGGTTATACCGATTATCTCCGTATGTTTATTTTTTCTTGAACCAAATATAGAGAATTATTTTCGAGATCTTGAAAGTTCCGAACTGTTTAAGCTTAGCGCAATTCTACCTGATATTATAATCATCATACTGTATGAAAATTAGAGAATATTCCTAGTTGCGTACTTACGTACAACGAGATAGGTGTATGTGTACGTTAGAAAGCGTGTTGCCGATAGGAATAATATCGATTCGTTAACGCGCACCTGCAGCTTATCTTTGAATTATTTAAGCTCTCCCCTAGGCTCTGGCTACATTGTCCAATTTCCCGAGCAACAAAAATTCGAGAAAAATTTCATGAATTCAATGCTACTTTTCTCAACTCTGGATTCGGTGATATATAACTCATACATCTAAATCATAAGGCACCTAAAAATAAAATTCACGAACGTATGTGCACAGATACATCGGGAAACTTGTTACGTAGGTAAAAGCGATGACTCCACGATAATAGAAGATGAAATGTCAATACTCCAGAATTATTAATACTTCTGTAATTATTTTGAAGTTATTTCTCCGAAAGGTGAAACGTTGCTGTGTTTACGATGTTTTACTAGTATGGAAACTGACAGCAAAACACACGCAAAACGTTGAAACTTATTGATCGTTGAAATGATAACAAAAGACTTGCAGTATTGGTCGAGACTTGTTGCATTTGAAGAAAATTCGTAATATGCCAGCATGATACAAGTATTAGGAAAGAACCCAAATCTCAGCTGTTTAATTCTTTGGGGTACACGATTTTAGAGAAGAGAACAAGTCAACTTGCACAGAATTCACTGCACCAGACAATCCGACAACCTTAATCGCAACAGTCTGAACAGCTTACTAATGCGTTTCGACTTGTATAATCTTTTGTTTTCACTTATTTACGCATTTATCGTTAGTTCATAACATTGCCATCTGAATGAGGAACTTCAAATAAAACATTAAACTGTAAAAGTATGAGTAACTTCAACTTGTCAGGTGGGTTAACATGTATACCACCATGCATAGAAAGCTAAGCAAAGGCTGGTACAGTGTTTAACACACCGAACCCCAAAGAGTTAACACGTGATACGTTCCTCAGGTTAGATCGACACTCCGAAAGATAGATGGTCTAAACGTGAGAAACAGAAAAGAGGGGAAAGTAATATTATAAATTACATCTCGGTAAATGAAGCGGAAGAGTATGTTTCGTATCATAGATACGTTCGCATTGAGAAAATAATTTATTTAAAATATAAATAACGGGGCGTTCGCGTTTGAGTTTGAGCATGATTATTGTTATAAGAGGAATGAAATGGAAACTGACCAGCTCCCGGGGGAAGGGAAGCCTGCACTCTCGAGACGTTCGAATTCTGTAGAAGAAATATTACGATTTGTACGATCGCACCAAATGGAACCGAAAACACGGAACATAAAACACCGCAAAGCAGCATTGCGTACGCCGCGCTCCGCTCTAACTAAGGAGAGGGAAACGCTGTCAACGATTCTACTAGGCTACCCGGCTAATCCGAATGCTCGTGAATCGTCGCGCTAACTCACCGTTTCGAACATGCGCATATGCCTTTCACTCGTATCTCCGAAGTCACAATTTATACCTGTCGTCACCGTCAATGTCGTCGCTGTCGTCGTCGTTGTCGTCGTAATTTAACACTAGACTACCAGAGAGGTCAAAATGACTTATTCCTGATTGCTTCTTTAATAATTATTAATACTAGATTTACGGACATTTATTGTACAGTTTATTCTATTGTTCTCAGAAAGATTGATATTCGTCCGTTTAGATCTAGGAAATGAAATGTTTAAAAATGTATTATTAGGAATCATAATCACGTAATTGAATCAATCAAAATCGACCCAAACATTTACCAAATAATGTTTATAAAATTCAATATGAGTCAAATTGGCTCGTTCTGTAAATCTAGTGTTAAAAACATAACAGATAATTCTCCGAGAAATTACTACAGAAACTGATTCAGCAATAGGCAAATTGAATTATAAATCAATAGAGATCTTAATAATAACACTGCTGATGTTTCCATAGAAAACTTTAGAAAAGTCAGTTTGACTGTTCGGTAGTTCTAATGTTAACCATTTGTATTCGAGAGGTGACTCTCAGTCACCACTTGATTTGATTTGTAAAATTATAAAGTTTTGTATATAATATTAACCCTCTTGGGGCCGAATTTTTGTTCATGATTATAACAAAATCTATGCAGTAGAAAATTATTAAATATCCACATATGAATACGAAATAACAATGTATTCAATAGTTTCAATAATTTCATCAAACTAATATATTTTGTAACTTTCAAGTTATAATGACGTTGAACTTTAACGCCTGAGCGTATAAAAGTTGAAATTAACTGATTACTTCATTTTATTCACCACTTTGAGTGCAAAATGAAATATATCAACAAGATGTCAATACACTGATATGTGACTTCAAAATTACATGGGCCAACAGGGGGTTAAGCTTTGTATGATGCATCAATATATGAATATATGAATATTTTTAGTGAAAAACTTACGGGTGCAAAGGGTTAACACTACAACAACCGAACACTTAAACCGTCTTTTGAAAATTTCTTTATAACAGCTAAAAGCGTGAATGTATTAAGATTTCAATTGGTTTATATTTCAGTTTAGGTATGACTATATCAGCTTCTTTAATCACTTCTCAAAGAAGTGTCTGTACCTTGGCAACAATCGTAAAAGAAGAAATTCAGAAGTCGCCATTTTGACCCGCCTGGTAGTTCTAGTGTTAAATGCATATACCATGTATACAATTAGATGATAGTATTCGAACAGCGATGTATTCATAGGTGAAACGGATATTAATTCTGTAATACTATGAACACTGAAAATGTATGTTTCATAGAGGGTACTATAGGGGTATAATATAACTAGATATACATAGGGTGAGACTCGTAATTGTGCAAGAAAACGTGACCTTCGAGCATCCCAGTTCGGCTTTTGTCATCGAGAGATTTAGTAGGAGATAAATAATCAAGGATGTCATAAATTTCGTCTTCCTTAATACTGTCAGAGAACTGCTTTGTGACCGTGACTACGACCATGACTTCAACTGCGACTTCGACTGTGACTGCAACTGCGACTGCGACTGTGACTGTGACTGCGACACGGGGATTTTTCATTCCTGGTAAAGTTGTCATCGATGATAAACGTTCCGAATGATACTACTACATTGTGTGTTAGTTGTTACTTTGGGAATTCTAAAACCAATTCATAGCTATAACTGGTTTCTTCTGGTAACATTTATGTAGAATAAATGATTATTTACTTGATTGTAGCAAAGATTCTATTATACGGAATATGTTGTGTTCTTGATGGTACGTGCATTCAACAGAAATATTTTGTCTTTCTTACAATCTTCTTGAAGATATTAGGGTGGCTGAACTTTTTAAACGGCAACGTGTATCGTAGCGGGAAAGAATAGTTCATAGTTTTTCTTACCATTTTTAAGATATTAAAATGAATTTTAATTGTTTAATTAGTAACGTGGTTTTCCCCTGCTGTATTGTAGTTAACAAAAAGATAACAAAATACAATGAAGTGTCGCTCAATCTGCAGAAAACAGATAGTGTATAAAACAAGTAATCGTAATTTCTGAAAGAAGAAAAAAATTATTTTAAGTATTTAAGACTAATGGCCACTTCAAAGTTACTATTATAGGTCATAGAATTCATCTTTTTGCCAACCATGAAACAACAAAAGAAAAACATGTCATCCATTATAGAACTTAAATTAATTTTAATATTTTAGAAATTATAAGATGTAACAAATATAAATTGCCGTTGTTTGACAAGTAATATAGCATATAAAATATTTAATGAAAAAAAACTTTTATCAAAATTAATAATAAAAAAAGGGTCATATCAGACAACGATTATTATTAACTTATATAACTTATACACTTTAAAAACATGATTATATTAACCAATCCTAACATGAATTTCATCAAAGGTATGTAAGATGAGGTGGAAAGATTAGAAAACATGATTATGTAGTCTAAATAATATGTTGAAAGCCGAATATTATTGAAAATTTTCAGTCCATTACTTCTGTATTAAAAAATTTTTAAAGAAATAGAAGTATAAAATGAAATTTCACAATTTGTCAAAAGTTTACAGAATCAATAGTTATAAAATATGACATGTATTAAATATTAGTAAACTAATTTTTTATACCTTTTCCTTTTTTATTATCGCCTTTTTCTACCTTTTCGCAATAATATTTTCTCCTTTATTGATTATGAAATTTGATTTTATAGTTTTGCAACTTCCAGTATATCTTTCACTCGAATAAAAATTCTGTAGCTTGAATATACATATCGTGTGATTTAGATCATATTTAAAGATTTTACCTTTGCTTATATTCATTAGATAACAAATTAAACATTTGTAAATGTGTACTGTAATTTATGATTATTTCAATTAAGATGATTCCACTGTTCGAATACTTTGTGTACACCTGTGTACATCTGCGTATACTCAGTTTATTTGATTGTTACCATCCTTACTTACTTTTGTTGGTTCGTTTATTACCAATATTTTACATCATCGCTTAATTAATAATCATGTAAAATGGTTGTGGGAATTCGAAGGATACATACATAGTCATTAATAATTGGATAAACAAACTCATGATACAAAATAATATGGCAAGAATATACTGTATTTTTTCTTTTAATCATTATCATACGAATCATTACCGTTTAATCATTATCATTACTTGCAATTCATACTGCGATTGTTTCTGAGAAGATGTACGTGTTCATGTATGTGTATATGTCATTGCGAACTTATTATTACCGTTATTATTATTCTTAGTGATATCAGTACCGTGGTTTATATTTCATCTTTTATCTTGTTCGTTATCGACATTATCGGTCATCATTGTCGGCATCATCGTTGCCATCGTTAGCAGTATTATTACCGTTTTATTGTCAATATTCTTAACGTCACCGTTAATCTCGGCGTCGTCACGTTTGATTCAACACAGTAAGACCAAGATACACTGGTACTAACATAATTCATTATCGTAACACATTAATTAAATAGATGAGTATAATAGGTATTTCACTTCGACGGTGTAATCCTATTATACATGATCAATTCGCGTTTTCGTTCTATCAGAAGTATAAAAACGTTGTACAAGATGTCCCCGCTTTTTATCATAAAAGTATTGTTATTTTCAGGGACCAATTCATCGCGTAATACCTTTGCTGCACGCACACACACGAACGTACACGCACAACTATTTAGACACAATTACATAGTTGCTACCTATATATAAATGTATAAATATGTCTATAAGTATATAAATATATCTATATACATATATTTATGTACTTATGTCTGTATTTATACTATGTAAACGCGTAAACACGATTGTCGACAGATATATACAAGAATATTTACATTTTTACTGCTTCTAAGATCTTACTATTCCCTCGATAACCTAATCCCTACCAGGTTCCTCAATACGCGCCCTAAGTAATATTCCAAAGATTAAAAGTTGAAGTCTCGCATTGTATGGCATTAACAATAATATAACACTTTTTTTTAACTTCCTTCTCATATCAGACAATTCTACAACTTTTATATACTCATTAATACCAGGTTGTAATATTGAAAAAAACACTGATATTTTTCATATAGAAATATTAATTACAATATAAATTTCATTCTAGATTTCTTTTGTTTAATTGGCGACAAACTGTGTTGTTATCAAAGCTATTGACAATGTTTCATATTTATTGTTTTAACGACTATGTACTTTATTATTTTATTATTTTAATCGCAATTTCCAAAAAATACACGCAATTCTTTAGTTTATAGATCGTGCTAATAATTTAGTTTTCCATTTTGTTAAATTTAAAAATGAAAATAATGTGAATTAGGCCTCTTAATTTTTAATATAATCAAGAAGATGAAATATTCAAAACTATCATCTCGAAAATCGAACAAAATTCTTGAAAATTAATCATGTATGTGAGATAACTTTAAATACCATATTACTTGTACATCTTTATTTGCTGTAAATAAATGCAGAATTCCAGCATCAAAGTTCTTAAATGCAGAATTTGCTATAAATGCATAATTATTATATTTATGTTCCTCATTTTTCAATTCTTCTTGCTCTTACGAAAAAAGTTATTTAATTTATTTAAAAATATTAATATTTGTAAGGTATTTAACATTGTTGACGTTATAAAATTTACTGAAAACGTTTGGCGCATTATACTTTTGATTTTTCTTGAAGATACACAAACATTGTCGAGTTTTCGAGATGAAAATTTAGAATATTGGACTAGAGTTAACTCTAGTGTAAACCCTAGTGTATGTTCGTATAGTGTGGTAATATTGTGTTACGTGTAAACGTGTGTGGTAATATTGTATTACGTACAGGGATATATTAAAACACGCAGATGCACGGTTTTACTAATTAAGGCAGAACAGTTGAGCTCATCACGGTATTGTGTAATAAGATTACTTACTGATTATACTTGACAATATCTGAAGAAAAGCAAGAAGTACGGAAGCATTCAAAATTGAATGCAAACACGCGTTATGAAATGGCAGTAACGGAATCAAGGCACAATGTAGCCTACCAGGGCTATTGCCTTTCCCTGTTTCCTTTACTTCTTTCTTCTTTTCTGTTATAGTTTTAAGTCGCAGTCCAGCTGCTCGGTAGGATAGTGTATTATAAGACGCAGAGGAATCGAGCAAAGCGACACACAAGATTATCTCGGTTGCAAGAGGAACCCGATGGATTGTTTAATTAAATAATTTTCACATAAATCTCATTTAAATAATTTACGTTTTCGTATATACAGTGCGCTTGATTTACGCATTTTTGCTATTGTCTCAAACATGCCTAGACTTTCTTTACATCATCGTGTTATCACGTTGATAACCAATAACAATAAAAATGTCGGCAACAGTTTCTAATAAATCTTCACTGTACTAGTCGCACAAGTGTTGTGTGTCTACTGTTTTCCATTTCGTATTCTCCTTCCATTATCTTCGATTGTTGTGCATGGCAACTAGAATTTTTGGAGGGAAATACGAGAAAATGGCAGTCCTTGGTTTTCCTTTTCTAACCGCTTGCTTTTTAATTAAAGCTACGATACTGGTAAACTGACACGTTAGTCATTGAATAATTTAAACATTTTTTGTCCATTCACAAAAATTGAAAGAAATGACCTAGGTTACAAACATTACACTTCTACACCAAGAACTCTGTCAACGACATACTCGTACCTCCTCGGCTCTTCATTGTCGTTCTGTTCAGATGATTTTAGATTCTCATCTTGTCCAGTTTTTACGCACTGTAGCTTTGCCATGCCTGGTCGACCCTTCGCGTTCACAGTTTTATTTGTACTGTTCGCTGAACTATCTTCAGCTAGGTTTGAAATATCCACATTATTTTTTGTAGCACTGTCAGCCTTTATGGTAGAGGCATTCCCACAAGAGACACTAGTTGGCCGTGTAGCCAGATTTGAAATACATTGAGCATCAACTTTAGTGATTACAGATTCACTGATAACTGGTTCTGAAGTATGTCTCTTGTGATGGGCAAGTGACAAGCTCGGTAACAATGTATTCTCGCATGAAGAGTCTTCAGGTGGAAGTACAGGAACATTAAGACTAACGCGCGTAAAGAAAGCCATTTTTTCCCTGAAAAACAAAATATTAAAAATGAATTATGAAAATATGTAATATAAAAACAAGTAAATAATGTGTACGTATACAACTCTTACATAAAATAATTAACAGTCTACAGTTTTCTAGATATATTTGAAAATAATCACAACCCTTCTTTTTCATACGAGTAATAACAATCAACTAATATAGACTTAATTTTATGCGTAAAACAATTGTAACATTAATATACATACTTGAAAGAAATAATATCAGGTTTTCCTTTGCCAGCTTTTGTCTTTCTTAGCTTATAAATCTCTTTTGAGGTTCTTTTTAACATTTTCTCTACCCTTTTATCTTCGGCACTCTTGCCATTTTTTCCACTTTCAGCTTGCGCCATGAGGCTCTGAAATTTATTATCTTCTAGCAACCAAGTTGCAAAATCGGTGTCACCTTTTTCTCTCGCTTGCTCCAGCCTCTGTTTTAATTCTCGTAATCTGGTAATCTCATCTTGAAGATTGCTTAGTCTGGCATGCTGCGCTTGAAGATCCAATTCGAGATCCAACGATGTTCTAGCAGTAGGTGGCAAGTTTGTACACTTCTTTGAGACAGTTTTACAGCTGAGTGCAGACGAAGGACGTCGCCATCGCAATGATCGTCTTTCAACCGAATTCCGTTGGAAAGGTCCACCCCTTCTATAAAGCGGCATGCTACTATCGCTGTCACTTCGATTGAGCTGCGGAAATAGTAATTAACAAATTTAAGTACTTTTCTTAATAATTAGATACTTTGCCGAATTTTTTTAGCGAACGTTCTTAATAATTAATAAATGGCAGATAATGAATTATTGGTTTTGGTTTTAGTATATTTGAAGACCAAAAGTTAAAAAGTACCAAAACATAAAATGTTATTTATAATATAACGATATAAGTGATGTAATAAATAATTCCAATATTGTATCTTAAATAGAATTTGTACTTACTCGACAAATGTAATGATTTTTGCTAACTGCAGCACTCGGGGAGAAAGTCTGACTTCTTTTTATAACGATAGAATTTTTATCGTCATAAATACTGTTAGGAGTAACGCCAGCTGCCGAAAGTTTCCTTTGTTTTCCCTGTTCGGGAATGAAGATACATTCAGTGTTCGTTTCCTTGTCCTCAGTTAGCTTTGTATCTTCGTTCAATTCTTCATCCTCCTATTATCGATATAAAGTATTATTTTAAATATACAATAACCGTATAATAAAGAACGTAATATAATTGCATACGTTAATATAATATTATTATGTAACATTATTATAGCAGTGTGCTGTTAACATTTTCTTCAAGTTTTAATGGATTTTGGCTTGATACACACTATCGGTTAGAATCTGATTCACTCTCAGTCCGCTCTTAATTTGATCTTGCTCTATTTTCGTTCATCACGAACAAAAGGCAAGGAAAGAATTTTGAATGGAGCAGATTAATAGATGTGTATCGGGTTTTACTAGTCACAGTTGAATAATATATGTTTCTCGACAAAAAATTGTAACATAAGGTTAATATTTAATAGAGATAATTAGCTGTAGATTTTTGCAAAATGATTTTTTATTTTTAAATAAATAATCTTTTAGTTAATGTATTCTGAACTATTATTAAGTTTTTATTACTATTTTTATCATTGGTATAACTATTCTTTTGCAAAAGGAATAACAAAGATATTACTTGCTGACAATCTCCATTTATGAAAGTATATCTATGTATAGAAATTAATGAAAGTTAAATTTTACATGACTCCACGTAATACATAATAAAATTTAACTAGAAATTATTTAAAATGAAAGTCAGTAGTACCTCATGCTCCAAAACATCTTCCAAAATATTGTCTTCCATCATGAATTCCACAATGATTCCTTCTTCGTCACTATCCTCGCTACCACTTTCACTACCAGCATTTTCATCCTCTTCTTCAGGACTCCTCAAACAGTTTGCTAGTTCTTCTAATTTTAAGGAAATAGCTGTTTGCAACTCGTCGCATCCTTGATTCCTTGTCAAGGTAGACGTTTGAGAGCTAATTATTGTACTCTCGTCGCTGCTTTCTTCCTTAGTATTTTGTCCACCACGATAAACTGATATATCTGATTCTTGTTTATCGTGTTTAGCCTGTCTTGCTATGCTAGTAGAGATACTGTTGCTGTTGCTAGTACTCGTACTAGGACTGTCAGGTGGTTGCATAAAACGGAAGGACAGTAGATTATACCATTTTACACTTGGTGATTCTGGGCAAAAGTCTGCAAGGGAAACTTGGGCGGATCCCTGAAAACAACATTAACTACTACAGTTTATGTATTAAATAGTAACAGAGATAAATACAATACAGAATACACTGGGTTATGTTATAATGAACGCAAAGAAATATTATCAGCCTTTCTACTGATGTATAGTAAGAGATTTACATTAAATGGTGTAAGATGACTTGCTTGTTAATATTAATTATTACATAATTAACAGCCACATATTGGCAAAATTAACTAAAACCATCAATTAATGTAGAGACATTAAGTAAAAACTAAGAACTATAAGTGATGAATGTGATTAAATTAACGACGGACTTGTGAAAGAGTTTTTATAGTATCAGTGAATGATAACCTATAACTTAATGAATTAATACTCTAGCATTTTAATACAGAGATATGTGAGGGAAGAATTGACAAGAAGCTATTTGGAGAAAAGAAATAAAAAAAGTAATGATTCATGATGGGTCATTGGAAGAAGAATCTTAAAAATTGAGAGTACACAAAGAAGAGAGGTATTTATGTACGTTGAGTTATAATACTTTTAAATGAATAAAAAATAATTATAATTCAATGACACAATGTACCATTAAATTAGTAAAAATGATTAACATGAATTTCTATATTTGAAGTTCATTTCAGTTATAATTATTACTATAGTTATAAATTTTTATTATCGCTATTTTTTATTATTTATTAGATTTTTTTTCATTCGCGGTATAAATTATTTATAACTCAACTTAACATACCATAATTCTTAATGGAATATTAGATATAATAAAAAAGAAAAAGAAATAAGTACCAAGCACTCCTCAGACTCACTGCCTGTACACCAAACATTCACTTGAAGTGTTTTAGTGTACAATTTGTTAAGTGGTACAGCAATCGGAAACGTTTCACCAAAAGTTGGCTTATGCAAATCCAATACAGGTTTCGTACAGCATATGTGGTTAACAGGTGGCTGCATTGGAAGTAGAGCAGCTTTTATGTACCTAAACATAAATAGAGAGAAATATTAATATTCTTAACAATGATCTATAGAATGTTATTTGTATTGTATAAAATACTTTAACATATGAGTTAAATGACATCAAGAATAAAGTAAAGTGTTAATGTATTAAAATGTGCTTAGGTGATTATTCTATACTAATTATAAGTCTCAATGAATGAATGTTAGGAGATTGTAAGTCGAAGTGAATACTCACACTTGCGCGTTATTAGGAATAAAGAGAGCAGCTAGGTTCCTTGCACGTTCGATACCAACATGAAGTAGGCCGTCGCTTACGGAATACCTATACAACTTAATTACTTTAGTATAAAGTATTTATTTATATAGAAAGGAAGGGAAAACTGGTAATTCTACGGATACTTATGTATTCTATACAAAGTGGCATTCATAAGATTTCTATATAATCAGAGGTTCTGGGGAAATAGATATATTAATTTCATATAAGTACATTAATTACAAATACGATATACTTGACTTTCTTTTATATAGATTCATTTTGAACACTGGATAATAAATGTTACAAGCTGTATTTATGTAGCATAATATACAGATGAAATATTAATAAAAATTCTGTTCAAAATTTAACGTAATGTAACTAATACCCGTACTGTTTTCAATAGATTTCACACACTGTTTGTACATATTTTAATATAACTTCAATAATTTGTTCTTTAATCCTGACACGGTAGACAATAGAAAACTGAAATTTAACACGTTGAATGCCGCACGATTTTATAGAGCAAAATACACAAAATGGAAAAAATATACTATTAAATCATTTATTTGAATTGCGTTGTTATTATTATTATATGTTCATCTAGCTGAATATCACCGCATCAGGTAGCATTGTTTATAATACAGATATGTTGTCAAATAATCGTCTTTCAATTGAATGAATTATAGTAATTCAATTTGATTGGGGGTAACCGATAACCCCTATGGTATTCAACGTGTTAACTACTGTTTTACCTCCCAGTAATTGTGTATATCATAAAATATTCAAAAGATATATCAAATGAAATGTAAAACAAACACACCTGAGTTTAATTTGCACCTGCGCCGTCTCCAGGCTCATTTCCCCGAGCGCCAAAGAATCTACGTCCCCGATCACTTCGGAGAGTCTTCTTCGATTGGAAGCTTCGAAGACACCTGAATCGCCCGCGACGCTTTCATCGGAAACAGCCGCAGAGACGGATCTAGTATTAGTACCGGAACTGCTTGCTCTTGATCGAATTCCCGTGGGGGGTGGCGTCTCGCTGATCGGCGACAGAGGCGGTGGCTCTTGCGAGATCGGTTGTTGTTGCGCAGTAGTGACAGGCCTACCAAGACCGCTACCTTGAGACATGTTCCCGGACTGTAGCTCGACAGGTGGATGAGGTCCACCGACCAATTTAAGGCGATCTTGCGAACCAGCGCACAACAATTCGTGTGATGATATTTGCTGCTGACTAAGCCTAAGTTCTGCCAAACGGTCTTCCAGTTGATTTCCGTCTAAATTTACACTGGAGGAAGTGGTGGTTCTCTGATTCTGTCGCCTCTGCATTTCCACGTGCTCGTACGCTGGAGGTGGTCCCATTGGGGCGTTTTCGTAGAGCGGCGAAACCGGTGGACTGACGCTCGAAAGACTGGATCTAGGGGACAAGCTAGGTTGAGATCTGCCAGGCGAGGGAGTGCTAACGAGATTGTTCTGTTCCGAACCCCTAAGCAATCTTTCGACTCGTCTATGCAAATCGACCATGTCGACCGGTCGTTCTTGCTGCAAACTAACGGGACCTAGACACTGTGGACTACCATAAATATCAGTGAAGCTCAGACCGGAACTCAGAGAGCCTTTGCTGCTCGTCGTGCTAAGACTTCCGAGACTGGAGCTACTGCTCACCGAGAGCGTGCTCGCACTCAGCGTTTTCAGTTGGCCTTCGAGCATAGCCATAGAACGTAGGGCATCTCTCAACTGTTGCAACAGCAACTGCTTCTCTTCGTGGAGTCGCACTCGATCGGTGATAGTTTTGTTCGACAATTCGAGCGCGTTGTTCAAATCTTGCTCCAACCGACGGATCTCGCTCTGTATCTTTTTCATATCTTGTTGCGTTCTGGTGCGCGGCGTAATGCTTCTTAGTTCTCTGAGCAGTTGTTCCTTTTCTTGGAAGAGCAACAGCTTGTCCTTGTCGCTCTCGGTTTGACCAGGCGTTACTTTCTCTTCAAGATCCGCCAACTGTTGCTGAATGTGTTGTATCCTTTTTCTCGCCTCGTCGTATTGGAGTCTCATCCGCGCCATCTCAGCTAAACGGGTACCAATTGGTACCAATTCGCCCGACAGATCTGTTTGAGACGCTGTGCTGAGCTTCTCTTGGGGTAGACTGAGCGTGCTGGCCTCAGGACTACCTTCGCACAGTTGTAATCTCGTTAACTCGTCCTTCAGCTGTGCCAGAGATTGCATTAATTCAGCCTTTTCCTTCTCCCCGGAACTAAGCGATTTTTGTATGTTACGAAGCTCCGTCATGATCGCCTGAGCCTCCGTAATGTTGTAACAGCCCCCGTGATGTCCACTCAATTTTTGCTCGACGCTGCACAATACAACAAAATATTCTGTTAGTGTTAAGATAAGGTTTACGAAACAGATATCGGTAAGTATTCTACCGTTGTTTTTAACTAACAAAGTCAGGATTACCTAAATATCTTTTATTGAAACTAAATTCGTACGCGATAACCGTAATTTTTCATTTGTAAGTGGTTCAACTAACAATGACAACGGTTAAATATCTCGATAAACATGGAAAACACGCTACTATAAAAACAATCGGGATGCATCTGTTAGTATAAATGATTTTTTAGATATTTAGTTTGATATTTGTATTTTAAGTTGCTAAAAAAGTACTCATCTAAGGTGGTATTTGTACGTGTTTACTTTATACATTCAAATATTGTATAAAATCTTGTATAAAACCACAAGGACGTCTTGTTTCTGCAATGTATCACAAAAACATACAGTATTAAAAAAAACCCCGAAGAATGTGGCAGAAACTTTAAGTCATCCTTATCTTAAGTCATTTTCTTATTTTATAAAGTCCAAGGAAGCTCTGTTCAGTGTTTTTTCACCATCTAATTTTTGGATAAAGACAGAAATATATTAAGGCCCCTGCTCTGCCCCAATTTCCCCTAAACATTTTACTCGGGTTCCTTTGGATCCATTTCTTTTTCTTGTACATTATTTGTATTTCTTTACCTATTGTAAGTAAATAAAAATGGGAGTTACTAAAATATTTTTGGTAAACTTGGAATTCTTTTTTCTTCCAAGTGTCTGACTACTACGTACATCATAATAATATTTTGAATATATCAAAATTCAGTAATTTGTTAACTAGACGAATGTGATGTAGAACATTGTTGTGCATAATACCATACTATTGTAAATAATATACATGTTATAGTACAGGGTGTGTCATACTAGGTATATGGAACATTCGTAGAGGAGCAATACTGTAAATTACATTAATGAAAAGGAAAATATTATTCCTATATAAATGTCGAATAAAGATATAATTTTTCAATGTAGGCTGTTTTTTGTATCGAAGAAGTATCTGTAACCTCTATAGAAGATCAAAATCATAACAGTTGAGTGTATAACTTGGTTTACTTTTATATTTTCATTACTACCCACCCACTTCAATTTTGTCATAGACACAGAAAAATCTACTTTGCGGACGTATCAAATAAAATGATTTATTCGAAGAACTAACTTTTTCTACTACAGTACTTTATTCGTATAACAGTGTACTGTTTTATTCTTTCGTGATACTGAATAACCGAATGAAACGAATTATGTTTAAATATGCAAACATCATTTTCGATGAATCCATGATTGATAAAAAATAAATATACTTTGGGAACTTATACGAGTTTTTCATCTTTGTACGTATGTGTGACAAAATAGAAATGAGGCAGTAGGTCGAAGTAGGGTAGTAGGCCAAGAAATGTACACCGCTGTTAGGTTGTTGCCCTCCGATAGACGTTTCTGGTACTCTTGCATAGTACAAATAACAGCCTGTAATAAAAAAAAATTAAGCTTCATCGGACATATACACGACATATGTACACGTAGAAACCTTTTCTTATTAGGTTAATGTATAGAATCGACTCTCTAAAAGGACCGAATACATTATGAAATATCTGATACAAATGATGCACGATCTAATGCGAATTGAATAATACGTGCAATACATTCTTCTTGTGATTGCAATATTACATTAAATAGTTATAAACATTTCACCGAAATTGATTTTAATAACAAATTATGTGAACCGAAATAATAAAAAGGAAAGAGTAAGTCAGAATAAGTTTATTTTGATCAAGATTAGAATGTTAGCAGTTTGAAATTTAAAGTTTGGCCTGGACAAACGGCGATGTTCGACTTCAACGCCAAGATCATTATGAAAATTGAGAACTGGCTCGTTGAGTAGTGAAATTATCAAACAATTTGAAATATTTTATTTTTAATGTTACTTTTTTATATTGTCTTTTTAAAATAATAAATAGTGATAGTAGAATATATTAATTTGTTTTTTTTATGTGAATCAATCGATTGCTAGATTTTGTATTAATTTTTCTTGAAAAGGTACACGTACCAATCACGTGCTTTTCTCGTTAGTATAACATAGTGTTTTTAATTGGTTCGCTATTCAATGATTCGGCGCAAGACCTGTCTGATATAAGGATATTTTTGGTTCTTTTATTTGAATGCATCTTTTACCACGTAACTTTAGAAAATTTTGTTTCTATTATATGTATTAAATTTATTCATTAATAATTTTCTGTTCAAAAACATATCTAGTATTTATTTCATAGAGAATTGAAAAGTTTAACCACCACAGCATAATTTTATGACGTTCATTTTCAAAAAGAATACGAGTATTTGCATTAATTGACTTGTAATTAAGGTTTATTGTCGTCTTATGAAAACAATAATTATTTAATATTATAGTTTACCTCGCAAGTGTGTCCACTCCCCGCTGCGTACAATTCATTTCTGCTCGGATCTGTTCAAGTTCCCGTTTCAGTCGAGATACTCGACTCCTCGCAAGCGCGACATCGGATTTCAAAAGATCGGGATCATACTTGGTACTCAACGAACTTGAACTGGAGCACACTGTGAACAAAACAATTTATTGATTTTTGTGTTACGATTTATCGTGTAAAAACCGAAAGATGGATATTTCTGAAGACAACACAGATAACTTTACTAACTCTATTCATCTTTCAGGCTTAGTTGTCAAGCAGATGTCTTGTGAACACTGTTCTTTTCACTTTTTTAAAAAAAAAACTAAGTCAAAAATAGATTGAATCATCGCTGTGAAAGAATTTATCGTATAATTAATTGCTTAACGGAAAATCTCAAAATAAAATGTTATAGAAACCCTCATGGATAGTCCTAAACTTTATTTTATCTGTTATAGAGAATTTCAGGAAATCCTGTACTCTTGAAAAAATATTTTCAATATAGTGACAATTAAATTGTTTTAACGTATTATAACTTTCGGAGTAATTGAAAAATTAATTTTTTTATTGCTTGTTTCATTCTGTTGTCTCACTCAACATTGCTTTAGTAATAATGTGTATGCATGTACAATGTGTAACAAGAGTATCTAACTTTTATGCTTGTTTTCTTTTTTTATTTAATCTTTTACCCTTTGCGCACCTATGTTGAGCAGGAATCGACATCATTTTTATTCACAGGTATGATTCTTTGTCAAGATATTTCTAAAATAGATTATATTATTATGTTATTTTCAATATTATTAATAAGAAGAATCGTTTACACTGCTCTCTACAAACTAACTATTTTTTAAAATACATTTAAAATGAAATATCGTAATAATACAGAGTCATCGAGGGAAAAAATGCAAAAGAAATTCGGAGTGTAAAGGGTTAAGTGTTTGACAATTATGTTCAACGAGAAATCTAAAACCATTCTACTCTTTGAGAATTTCTACTTCAAAATAATCGACTTATGCATTTATAGAAACTAAAACGGAGCAAACGAAGCATTTGTAACAAAAATTAAATTCCAAGTGACACTTTGAAACATATTTTCATATACCCCTTCATTTTTATAAGCTTCAGTAACAAATAGTTATTGTGTAACTGATCTGTGTGAAAAGAAACTTAAAAAGTTTCCACTTAATTGTGCTTTAATCTGACGAATCTAATATAAATAAACAAACACCAGTAACTTAATTATTGTAAACATATACTGCAGACCATTATATGTACCAGTGTTAACTCTTTGTATTCGAGAGGTGACGCACAGTCACTACTTGATTCGACACAAAATTGTAAAATTTGATATTTAACATTAATCTCTCTATAATGCATCAATATGTGGAATATTGAAATGAAACAGTTTTATTCTTTGATTCATGTGTAATTTTTCTTTAAGTAAGTTTCCAAAATATCGTTCCTATCTCATTAGAAAATGTGGAATATTTCCAGCGAAAAACTCTCGAGTTCAAAGGGTTAATAAGGTATTAATAAAAAAAAAAGGTATACTTACAACTTGTACGCGACGCGCCGAGTGTCGTTAAGGCATTGTTCAGGTGATTATACTCATCCTGGGCCAAACATAGCCTCTGTTGCTTCACATCGTAAATTTCCTTCTTTGCCTGAAACATAAATCAATAATTTATGTAAATCAAAAATTCAAATGTAAAGAAAATTCTCTGTCATCCATCTACCATTCATGGTTAGCGGTGCAGCACAGAAGGTCTTTCTCACTATGTGTTTTCTTTACAGTTTTGATTGGTTCCGTGTAACAGTATCGACGAATAGCAAACCAGTATCGAAAATGAGATGAGAAAAGATGAAAACTGACTGCATAGACCCGCATTCCTTAGCCCAATGGTACATGGTTCATAACAAGTCGCCGAATGTAAAATACAGAAAAATCTAGCATTTTGTGCATCAACATGTCGGGCTAATGTCTTTCTAATTTTAGAGATGTGTGTAACAACTAGGAAAGAGTAGCAGTGCTTCATTCATTTTTTTATTTTAATTATTTTTATAATAGATGACTTAAATTAATCTTTCTTTTATAGGAATCGAAAATAGCAGTTTGCAGGAACGTTGGCTGTCTAGATATTATAATATAATATAATCAAAAATTATAAAAGTGATCATAAAATAAAAGTTTCAGTATTAGTACTATAGTATTTTCTGAAGATAATCTTCTTCTTATTAGATATGGAAGATAGTGTTCTAGAAATGTATACGAAAAAATCGTTTACCGTTCATATTATAGACAGAATATTACTTCATCTAACACGATGATACGGGGGAAATTTCGGTCAAGATTAGTTTTTAAGAGATTGCAAAATCAATGATCATTTTCAATTTTCACTTTAAACGAATAAGACAATAAAGTCTTTTTCAGAATTAAGATATTTTCAGATTATATAATCGGAATAGTTATGATCGTAATTAATTTCATTTTTTTATTTCGAAACAAATCTTGACAAGAACTTTTTTTCTACTATTTCATTTGTTCCTTCGAATAATTACTATTACTTGTGTTCATAAATATTTATTAGGTCCACTTTGTGGGTATAGATAAAGTTCTCGAAAACCAAAATAGACCCACGAATCGCTATTAAGTCGCAGTTAGGTCGCAGCAGAAAATTCGAAAAATTGTGGATATTAATACTTTGCACTCGAGAGGTGACTCTTAGTCACCATTTGATTTGATATAACCAATTACAAAGTGGTATATATAGTATTAAGTTTTGTATAATGCATCAATATGTGAAATATTTATATAAAATAGCTTTGTTTCTTAATTTACGTTTGTTTTCTTATTAAATAGTTTCAAATTGTGTCATGTATATCTCATCGGAAAGTGTCGAATATTTCTAGTGAAAAGCTTCCGAGTGCAAACGGCTAATATATTGTGAACGAGTTGTTTTAATGTTAGCTACGTCAAGTGGTGCGACACTTTTATTCCATGTACATTTCACAGTGGAATTCTCGTTATCCGCCCAAGTGTTTGAATAGTTAATTTGATGCTAATAAGCGCCAATTAGTCAAATCAACGTTAATTAGTGTCTCCGTTAATACCGATGTTACAGATATACTAATAATTTATTACGGATATACCTAGTACATGGACGATGGCAATCTTTTATCGACACACGTGTGTGGGTTTAAGGGGTTGCCTTTATGTACGCTAGATCTTCGAGAGAAACACGCGAATTCAAGAATTCAAGAATTTCCTCGGAAACAGGCGTGGAAATGGAAATTTAACGAATATTTTTCTTCTAGAAAATATTCTTGATGATTTTATTAAAATTTTATTTAAACTCTTGAAACGATAATTGCTTCAAACGTATTCAAACTCACTGGGTAACGCGTGTATAATACCATAATAAATAATAAAAAGGTACTAGATAATTTTGATGTTTTAGAAATTGTGATAAGCACGAAATAAACGTTACAATAAAAATCTCTTTCCTTTTAACGTTTCATCAAAGATCATGAAATATTCCATAGAAATATCTAACAAAATGGCTAAAAGCCTAGTTTTACTGAATAAATAACGGGAGAAGAAATTTATCTGTCACTTTTACCAACGTGATCTTTAAATTAGCAATGTTTGAAGAACAATCAAAGGTGGAGAAGAATTTGCAGTACAAAGAATCTGGTTATTTCTCGTCCGTGATTCCAGCACGAGTGATCGATAGGTATCGCACATGAATCAAAGGTTTTAATCATTCTTTCGAAATCAGTACCATCTCGTCTGCATTGTTTCAAACGTTGCAAGGTCGTGAACAAAGCGTAGAATTACATAACCATTACGATATAGGATGTTCGATATCTTTTGAATTGTTAGTCCCAATAGGTCTGAAGGTTGGATTCCTTAACGCATTCCTTTTCTCATTTGAATTTCTTTTTTTAAGTGGCACACGATGCTATAAAAATGTTGTGTAAAAACTAGGAACACGGAAAGCACTTTCGGATCCTGTTTTAATTCCGACTAGCCGGAATAGATAAACGAAGAATATCGAGGCAACGTTCAGCTCCTCTTGATCATTCTCGCTAACGCGCGAAATGCATTTATGAATCGAATCAACGTAACCGATCTCCAAATCGGTGAAATAAGTTTCTTGAATTTTTATAGAAAGACCTATAGTTTAATTATTAGAAATTCATCGAAAATAGGACTGAAGTTACAGTCAGAGAGAAATGAAAGAACAAAAAGCATACTAGGGAAACATTTGTAAACATAGCGATGCAAAGATATCGATACTAGGAAGGTAATGAGACTATCGTGAAACTGAAAAAACGTTGACCGAGATGCATGAGGATCACGCTATGAAAAATACGATTGGAAGAGCACTGAACATCGCACCTCACTATAATTGTATTCGGCGAAATTGCACTTGAACGAATATCAAGACGAAAACTATACCGAAAAGAGGTGTAGGTAAAAATCCTGGAACTCTTACATATTCACAATAGTAGTATGCCGTGGCGTCGGTGTCATTCCGTCTATAGCACTGCTCCCAATAAAATCTTTGGATCTGTTCGTCGTTCTCGTAATCGTTGTGGTAGCACATTCTCATTTGATATTGCGAAACAACGTTCTCGTAAATTTGTTCCTGCTGAGGAGTGTGCTCGGTGAAACGTTGTTGCTGGGTATACTGGCGTTGTTGTTCTAAACGTTGGTGATGCGCGTGCTGGTGGTAATTGTCAACATAAGTGCGGTATTGGTGGGCTGGTACGAGTACGCAGAGTGTATACTGACGGTCCATGCCGGGTACACAGTAAAACTAAACACGGTACACCGATCCTTTCCTCTTCTTCTTCCTCTTCTTGCTTGTAGTGGATGTTTTCGTCCTCGTCTTCGTCTTCGTCCTCGTCCTAGTCCTCGTCTTCGTCGTCGTGATGGTTGCGATC